CGGACGGCCGACTGCGCGGCCGGGCCGCGGTGGGGGGCGTTTGGGGTCCCGCCTAGGCGCCCAGTTACCAGAGCCGTTGGGGCCGATAATACAGGTGAACTTCCTGAAGGGGCCGATGACCTGGCGGCCCCGCCACGACTTGAAGTTCTCCACGAGCAGCACCTCCAGGTGGCCCATGGCTGCGCCTCCGCCGCGTCTTCACAAAAGCGCGTGTCCGCAAAAGCGCGGGAAGCGACCGGCACGATCTCGCGAGGTCTCGCGAGAAGAGGGCGAGCGGCGGCCGAGCGCGGCCTTGTTCCTTAGCAACTGGAGTTGGGGACGCTCGGCGCCGTCGGTTCAGAGCTGCGCTGCCGGGTTGGGGTGCCGCTCGGTACCCAGCCGGCTCGGCCCCGTGCGGGCTGCCGCGGGTTCCACCTGGGGGGTCGTTCCTCTCCTCCCGCGATCCCCGCAGCGCCTCTTAGGGCCATGGAGGTCGCGCTGCCCAAGGACCTGGCGCAGGACGTGGGCGTGGCCAAGAGGAGGCACGCGGAGCTGTGCCGGCAGAAAGGGCTCTTCAATGCCAGGAGCAGGCTCATCGGGGTGAGGTCCGGGCCGAGGGCGAAAGGGCCAGGAGAGGGTGAACTTCGAGCGAAACCTTTCCATTTCTGACCCTGGCGGAACTGCAAGCGGGGTGTGTGTGCGTGATGCGTGTGTGTGTGTGTGTGTGTGTGTGTGTGTGTGTGTGTGTGCGTGCGTGCGTGTGTAGGGTGTGATAGTTCCCTGGACTGGATTTGCAGAGGATGGGAGAGATTTGGGCAGAGCAAACGTGCTCACCCCGCACCTGGCAAATTGAGGCTCAGATTGGGGCGGGGCGGGATGGGAGGGGCTTGCTTGCCTGCAGTTGATAAGAAGACAAGGGTCATTCAGAATGTGGTTCTTCCTAGGAACCTGATTTTCTTTCGTCTTTTTTTTTTCTTTTTCGTCTTCTTATTCTTTAGCATTTCATATATTCTTTTTATTTAGTACTTGTTCTTTATATTGTGGCTAAAGTATGCCCAACAAAACATTCTCCAATTCAACAACTCTACATGTATAATTCAGTGCCATGAATTATACTTTGTGTTGTACAACCATTTTATTGATATCCTTTCCCAAATTATTCCACCACCATTAACATAAACTCAATGCCCCTTAAGCAAAAACTCTTCCTCCTTCATTCGTGGAAACCATTGGTCAAGTTTGGTTTCTTTTTGGTAGTTTTCTTGATATCAGACACTTCATTAGTTTAAAAGCTTTTAAAAAGAGTTGTATACACATCATCACAATCAGTTCTCATGCTCCCCCCTCTCACATTCACTGTTTGCTTCCCCAAGCCCCCTCCCTCTCCTCCCTCCCTCATGTCCCCAATAAACCATTGCATCATTTATGGCCTTTATGCATCCCTGCTTTCTGCGCTTCACAAATTGGGAAACCCAACAGAACAATAAAAACATAAAACAGTAAGAAGATAATAATATAAAAATATAAAGGAAAAAGGAAAAAGACCACTATCAATTTTTTTTTTTAAAGCCAGAGAAGCAATTTCTGTCGTGGAACCAGCAAGAAATATTTGAGCCTAGAGCAAATTCAGGTCGGGTCAAGAGGGAGGTCAACTGACCAAGTATCATATTATACCATGGTTTGATCGGCCATTGTCACTTTACAATCATCTCTAAAGCTGTTCCTCACCTGTGGCAAGGGGATCTCCCCGAGGCTTAATCTGACAAGATACTTTCCAGGTGGATTTGGGGCTCCGACTGCCCTCCATAGCCTTCTACAAATTGGGTGTTCACAATTTAAGCTCTAATGCATTTCCCTGCATCATATTTGGATTTTTTGTTATCGTTATCTTTGGATCACGCAGGCTGGTGTGCTTCTTCCACGTGGATTTAGTTGATGGCTTAGGTGGATTAGGAGCCAGATTTTCCACATCACCAGGGTCGCCTCCCACACTATGCACTTAGGGAAGGTAGGCAGTGCCTTCTTTGCAACAAGCCTGAGCTGCAGAGGAGTCCCTGATGGTGCAAACACTCCATGTGCCTAGCTGCCATTGGAAGGGTTAGAGTCTACCCAAAGGTGCCTCAGAAGAAAGCCCTGGAAGTCTATTCCCCAAAATCATCCACCCCAAACTCTATAGAGCACCAAAAACCCACATATAGGGGTCTCCCTGAGGTGCAATGCACTGGATGGCAAGTGGTATTTGTTTTGTAGATCTTGAAGAAGCTCATGGCTCCATGGAAGTAGCCTACATAAAAAGGGACACATTAAAATGCATGGACTGGGAGCCGTGGAGGAGGGGAGTTCAGGGAGCATATCCTGGGGCAGGGAGGGGAAATCCGGGAGGGCTCCCTGGAGGAGGTGGTGTTTTGAGGATCAGTATTTGTGGGAAGATACCTCTGGAGGGAATTCAGACTGAGGAAGCACCCAGCAGGGGTATCCAGGCATGAGTATCCTCTCACCTGGGTCATTTACAGTAGGCCAAGACTGCCAGGTGAGTAGGACTGTTGTACGCTGACTAAAAGTATGTGGCTCTAACTCTGCTCCTCTTGTGTTCTATTTCCAGGGAGACTCAGAGGCCTGGGATGTCCAGCTTCGTGACCAGAAGATAAAAGAAGCGACAGAAAAAGCTCGGCAGGAAACCTTCGGTGAGTAGTTTCTGAATGTAGACCAGGAGCTTCGGGCAGGGCGACTTTCAACTCCTGTCACCATTCTCCAGAAATGTAAAACGTTGGAAATGTAAAGCATTGTCCTTTTCATGCTCCTTATCCTTTGTCCTGGTGGCATAGCGTTGGGCTGCTAACTGCAAGGTCAACAGTTCAGAACCACCAGCAGGTCCTTGAGAGAAAGATGAGGCTCTCTATACCCGTAAAGAGTATACAGTCTCAGAACCCACAGAGGCAGTTATACTGTGTCCTACAGGGTTGCCCTGAGTTGGAATTGACTTGATGGCAGTGACCTGAGTCTCCTTTTGGAATTCTGTTTCCAAATAAGCTATGGAGCAATTTCGTCCTCTCTAAAAAGAAAACCAGCTGTGTGAGTTTTCCCGTGGATGGGAGGAAATACATGTTAAGAGTAGATGAATAATTTGTTTTGCTTTTGTTTTTAAGTGAAAACCTTAGAACACACACACACACACACTCTCTCTCTCTCTCTCTCTCTCTCTCTCTCTCTCTCTCTGCCAAGACCTTCCCGGGGAAGAAAAACTCTATTCAATACAATGTCTACAGTTTATACCAGATGGCACCTCCACGTCCCTGAGCTCACACATGAACGGATTCGGCACTAGGTGTGATTCACCTAGTGTTCTTACTCTTAGATGGAGCCTGGGGGTTGGCACAGGTGAAGAGAGTGCAAACAGTGAGTGCGCTTCGCTGCTAACCCAAAGGTCAGAGGGCTGAATCCACCATAAGTGCCCCAGAAGTAAGGCCTACTGAGCTACTTCCAGCAAACCAGCCACTAGACACCCGGTGGAGCACAGTTCTCCTTGTGCTGCACGCACCTGCCCATGGATGCCAGGCTGTATTTGACTCCATGGCGACTGGTTTTCTTTCTCCTTTTTTTCCCCAATCATTTTATTGGGGGCTCATACAACTCTTATCACAATCCATACATACATCATTTGTGTAAAGCACATTTGTTCATTCCTTGCCCTCATCATTCTCAAAACATCTGCTCTCCACTTAAGACCCTGACATCAGCTCCTCATTTTTCCCCCTCCCTCATGAACCCTTGATAATTTATAAATTATTATTTTGTCATATCTTGCACTGTCCGACGTCTCCCTTCACCCACTTTTCTGTTGTCC